AAGGAAGGAAGGAAGGAAGGAAGGAAGGAAGGAAGGAAGGAAGGAAGGAAGGAAAAAAGGAAGGGTGGTGGTCTTGTGTCTACTTCTGGCTTCCACATGCATATTCACACATGTGAACACACATTCACATGCACATTTATACATGTACACACAAATAAATAAGTAAAAATAAAATCAAGGTTCTGCACTTTGAATAGCTGCTGCTGGCTCAGGCCTCTCCTTCCTCAGCCTTTGTTTTCTCCTCTCCAGGGCAGAAAGTACACCAACGATGTTGCCAAGATCTACTCCATCAACGTCACCAACGTCATAGGTGGCGTGGCCGCCTACTGCCGCCCCTGCGCCCTAGAAGCCTCTGACGTGGGCTCCTCCTGTACCTCTTGTCCCGCTGGCCACTACATTGACCGAGATTCTGGAACCTGCCACCTCTGCCCCCCCAACACCATCCTGAAAACCCACCAGCCTTACGGTGCAGAAGCCTGTGTGGCTTGTAGGTCCGGGACCAAGAGCAACAAGGTACCAGCGGTCTGCCACACACGGTGACCTTTGCCCTCTGCTTGGATGGGCGCTGGGTTCTAGATGGGATTCTCGGTGGGGGGGACCTGATACCCATATGCTCTCCCTAGCAACACCCGCCCCATCCCACGCTCAGGTTGTTGTGAAGGACACCAACAAGGTGCGGCCGTGGGTGGTGAGTTCATAGCAGGAGGTCTCGTCTTCCCTCTGTAGTAGACAAGTCTCATCTTCAGCTGGTGGAGAGCTTGCTAGTGACCTTGGGATCCAGAGGGCTATTTGGCCTCTGTGCAGACACCTGAAGGGAAGAAATAGTGGGGTCCGGGTCTGTGGCTCAAATTCAACCTAGTTCAATCCAGCCTGTGCACACAGGAATCCACCTCCTCTCTCTTGGGAAGGTGAGTCCAACCTTTGAGGGACATATACACTGGCATCGCTGGCCTCCACGCAGGGTTTGCTCTGCTCTGCTAGATCTCTGCAAAGATCTAGCGCGGCAAAACAGTGCTATCATCCCCTGAAGTTTCACGTCCACAACAGACCTGAACGAGCCAGGCGTGATGGTGGCGCATACCTGTAATCCCAGCACTTGCGGGGTAGAGCTCAAGATTACTCTTATCTGCATAGCAACCTTGAGGCCAGCATAGAACTCAGGAGACCGAGATCCTGTCTCAAAACACCAAAACCTAAAACACGACAAAACCCCAAAGACAGTACCCGTGACTAAAAGGGTCTTAGATACGCGTTAACACTCATAACCAGTTTGTGTTTTGCTGATCACCCCAGGTAGCCGCCCATGAGATTTTATTCATTTCTTTAAATTTGTTTATTTATTTATGAGATCAGGTCCTGTGTATTCTAGATTGACTCCAAACACGGTGTAGTCCCGAGGGTGACCTCAGATTCCAGGGCCTTCTGCTTCGTTTATCTGCAAAGTGTGTATGATTGTCATACAGACCCCTGACGACCTTTTAGGAGTGCCTGGACAGTCTCCTTAGCTTTCTTCCCCAGGAGCTCCCCCTGCTGCTGAGGGAGGGAATGGCAGTGTGTCAGGCTGCATCTAATGGCCCCTAACACACAACAAGAAACAGGAAGCAAAGCCCCTCCCACAGTTCAGTTTCCTACAGAGAATCCCAGAAAGAGGAAGCAAATCTCAGTGTTTTAAATGGCCACGTATGTGCTGCACATGGAAACCTCTGGAACCCTTATTTCCGTTAGGGCCCCATTGTCTTCTGCTTGCAAGAGAGGCTTGGTCAAAGAGCACTTGCCCAGCCTGCACAAGGCTCTCGGGTGAATTCCTAGCACTATTAAAAACAAACTCAGAAGTTCTCCAGTGAATACTGGGGTCTGGGAACCTCAGAATTCTGCAGTGGAATATATATACGCCACAATAAACCATAGGTCTATTCAAAGACTTTGACACAAGAGGACATTTCATGAACTTGAATGAAAATCGTCAGACATATTAGAACAGGGATCCTTGGACACCATAATTAATACAAAAGTGGCTTTATTCCAAGGCTGTGTGGACAGTTGCCAGGCAGATGTCTTTGTCAAAATCCTTTGTATATATATCTATATCTATATATAGATATATATACATATATGTATGTATATGTATATGTTATATAGGGACGTCCTTGTGGAATATTAACGCTGGTGGTTCTGTCAGCGTCTTTCATGACAGCCACCATGGGCGATTGTATACAAACCCCCTTTCAGATGTGCCATTAACTGAATGGCAGGGTAGATCCTCTCAGCGTCAGTTCCACTAATGTCCACTGCAGCCCTTTCTTCCCTTCCTCCTCTTTTGTTCCACTCAGTCTGGAGCAACTTGGGGAGATCTGTTACACTCCACTGCACCCCACTGCAGCCCTGAAGGCTTCAGACCGCCTGCTGACCCGACCCTTCTCCCCTCAGATCCACTCCCTCTGCTACAATGACTGCACCTTCACCCGAAACTCTCCCACCAGGACGTTCAACTACAACTTCTCTGCTCTGTCAGGCACTGTCTCTCTGGCAGGAGCGCCGAGCTTCACTTCGAAAGGGCTGAAGTATTTCCATCATTTCACTCTGAGTCTCTGTGGAAACCAGGTAAGCTGTGTGGGCTAGCGGCGTGAGAACCGGAAAGGGGGTTGGAGGCCGGAGGTGAGCGCAGGAGAAAAAAAAAAAACAAACATAGAATCCCCCAGGCAGCAGAGGGATGAGAGAAGTAAGGAGGTTTAAATAGCAGCAACTCCCCCTGAGGATTGCTCTTATTCCTAAAATTAAATGTGCAATAAATACTTAGGGAAATAAAAAAAAAAGTCTTAAAAGTAAGATCTTTGTTTACTGTTACCTGAACTTCCCTCAGAGATATTCAAAAACTTTCAGATGTTAGAAGCATTTCCCATTTTAAATTTTAGACTGGGAATGCTTGGCTGGGGTCTATGAAACCATCACACAACCGGAAAAGCTTTACCGCAGAAACCCTTCCAGTCTCCAGTTATTTCTGATAACGGATACTCATGCTCAGTACACAAGAGTAAGCGGAGGGCTGGGACCCGGTTGGTAAGGCACTGGCCACGCAAGCAGAGGACCCGAATTCAGAGCCGGAGCACCACGTCAAAGCCAGGCAAGGCGGCTTGTGCCCACAATCCCAGTGTTGGGGGGCAGACAGACAAACGCCTAGAGCTTTCTAGCCAGCTAACTGGTGAGCTCCAGGTTCAGCGAGACACCAAGGAAGTAAGATGGCACGTGGCTGAGGAAGACACCTGACTTTGGCCTCAGAAGCATGCAGATCTACACAGACGCACACTCATGGACACACAGCCGTCTGTCACCACCACCCCACATCGGACTAGGCAGAGTCAAAAACGGTGGCACACATTTGTGGTCCCACCCATTCAAGAGGCTGAGGCAGGAGAGTCATTGAGTCCAGGAAGTGAAAGTCAGCCTGGGTAACATAAAGAGATCCTGAGATCCCCTTGATCCATATGTTGGAAGGAGAGGCCCTGTAAGATATTTGCTCTCCCTACACATGCACACAGGTTCACACTTCCACTTCTGTCCGTGTGCACACACACAAATTAAATGAACAAATGTAATTTTAAAACAACGTAAGGCAGAAGAGAAACCTTAAAGAAGCAGTCTTTGGTAGCAATACGTTGTTTTCTGGAAGCTGGATAGAATAAGCTGCCCTTAGTTTCTCTATATGTATCATTATTTTTTTTCTTTTTTTAAAATAAATTTTTTCAATTTTTTTTTTAAAAAAATATGGAACGCTTCACGAATTTGTGTGTCATCCTTGCACAGGGGCCATGCTAATCTTCTGGATCTGGATTTCAAAGTCAGGCTATGTAGTACACGGTTCAAAAAAAAAAAAAAGGAAGAAAAGAAAGAAGGGAGGGAGGGAAGAAGGGAGAGACAGAAGGAAGGAAGGCAACAATTTCATTCTCTCAATACATGTTTTGTTTCGCTTTATTTTGCTCTTTCACAGAACAGAGGGAGAGGTTGAGCACGTAGCTGCGTAGCTGAACGGCTTAACCTTGGGTTCATTCTCCCAGAACCTCCCTCCCCCCAAAAGTTTATCAGTTAAGACACAGACTTAACCATTTTGAGGCCTTTAGTGTCTAGCAATCCCACCTTTTGGGGAGCCTGAGACAGGGTAGGGTGATCATTAGTTCTAGATCCAACTGGGTTATTTAGCAAAAGTTCATTAAAAAAAAAAAAGTCGGGGGATTAGATGTCCTGCCTCAAGGTTCTAGGGTCCGTCTGAGTCCCTGGGAGTCTCTGTCTAGACAGTGCTCCTAAGACAAGCAGCTGAAGCACAGCACCAAGGGAGACAGGAAGGGGACGTCAGTCATCCCAGATGGTCCAGGAAATGTCACTGGCTTCAGGAATCGTTACATAGCTCAGCTTCTGTGTAGAGTATGGACCTAGATACAGAAGGACTCTTAACCATTTGGTTAGCACTCCAAAGCAGCTGCCGCCACCACAGTCTAGGTGACCTAAGGAAACAGGTGACTAGTGTCCAGAAACTGGGACATTGACCGTATCTTTACCATCCCCAGCCCCTCCCCGCCTTCAGTCTTCTCGTTAGCGCCATTCTACTGCAGCACCTCACGGGAAAGCTTAACTCTCATGTGGTTTTTAAAAAGGTCCCCTTTGGTACTTGCCTATGACCACATACTTTCCCCCACATTTCCCTACTAGGGGAAAAAAATGGCTGTGTGCACAGACAATGTCACTGACCTCCGGATCCCGGAAGGTGAAGCTGGTTTCTCCAAGTCCATCACAGCCTACGTCTGCCAGGTGGTCATCATCCCCTCGGAGGTGACCGGCTACAAGGCCGGGGTGTCTTCACAGCCCGTCAGTCTTGCTGACCGACTTATTGGTGAGTAGCCTCCAGATTTGCTTAACTGTGTGTGTGGTTGTGTGTGCGTTCATGTGTATGTGTATGCCTCTCTGTTTCTGAGTCTGTTTGTGTGTGTGTGTTTCTGTGTATGTCTGTGTTTGCGTGCCCATGTGTCTGTGTCTCTGTCTGTGTCTGTGTCTCTGTCTGTGTCTCTCTATGTGTGTCTTATTTGTCTCTCTTTCTCTCTATGTGTGTCTTATTTGTCTCTCTTTCTCTCTATGTGTGTCTTATTTGTCTCTCTTTCTCTCTGTGTGTGTCTGCGTTTGTGTGTCCATATGTCTTTGTGTGAGTGTGTCTTTCTGTGTCTGTATTTGTGTATGTGTATGTCTCTGTGTGTATCTCTCTGTGTGTTTGTGCATATATGTGTATCTCTATCACTCTCTGTCTGTGTTTTTATGTGTGTGTGTCTGTGTAAAAGTGTGTGTCTCTCTTTGTGTGTGTGTGTTTGTTTATGTCTCTGTGTGTGTCTCTGTGTGTTTGTTTCTGTGTCTCCCTATGTGTGTATGTTTGTTTGTATGTCTCTATGTGTGTATGTGTGTTTGCTTGTGTGTCTCTGTCTGGGTGTATGTGTGTGTGTTAGAGAATGTGAGACAGACAGACTGAAATGCACATGGCCCTTTGTTTTCAACTCAACTCCATTCCACGTGCCCCTGGCCTCTCTGATTAGCCTTGGGTTCACTTTGGTGTGAGCTACTCGGCGATATGATGAAATGCAGGTTGGTGGTTGACAGCCCTTGAGAGCACCGAAGTAGTTGCCAGCTAATGCTACAAGAGAGAGCTAATTGGGAGCTCTGATTTGACAGGGGTGTCGACAGACATGACTTTGGAAGGAATCGACTCCCCAGCTGAACTCTTCCGCCCAGAGACCTCAGGAATCCCGGACGTGATCTTCTTTTTCAGGTGAGGATGAGAGACCAGGCTGAGGCCGGTGAAACCTTGGACCCTCCCACAAATCTGCACCCCTCCCTCTCTATCCACCTCCTACTTGTCAAGTCTGAGCAGGTCTGAGGTCTAGGGCTACCAGTCATCAGAGTAAATGCTGGCTGTAACTTGACCTGGGCCTTTCGTATTTTACTGGGGTTATTATGCACTGGGGCGGGGAGAAATATGGAGGGTCTCCACAGACATCCCTTCCTGAAGGAGGTCCCAGCATGCACTAGCCTTTTCTTTCTTGGGCCAGCCATGCATTGCCTGCTTGAGTAGATCTCCCTGGTCCCCACTCTCTCCACATAAAGACCAAAGTTTGGCCTTCCCTGTTTGTCAAGCTAGCACCTGAGGTCTTACTGGGCCAGTGAAGGATCACCCATGTTGACTCCGTATTGTGGCTCCCCAATTACAGTGGCATGGTTCCTTCCCTCATGGTGTTGGCTTTCACTGCAGATCCAACGATGTGACCCAGTCCTGCAGTTCCGGAAGATCAACTACCATCCGTCTCAGGTGCAACCCCATGAAAGCTGCTCCTGGCACCCTGAGGCTCCCCAGGTAATCCCTGGACAGGGAGGCAAAACAAGCCACAGCCTTGGACTCATTCCATCCCAAGGCCCGGAGATTATTTAAAAGGGGGAAAAATTACTGTAGAGACATTCATGGGCCCTTGGGGACACAGTCATGGCCCCTCGATCTTAACTCAAAAAATAAACCAGGTGTGGTGGTGGTACACGCCTTTAATCCCAGCACTTGGGAGGCAGAGGCAGGTGGATCTCTGAGTTGGACACTAGCTTGATCTACGTATCAAATTTCAGGTCACTGGGGTGACACGGTGAGACCTTGTCTCAGAGCTGGGGAGGGGACAGGGTAGTTTGATCTGCGGATGATGTGGAAGCAGAGAAGAAGAGCTTCCTTACCATTGGGTGGTCTGCAAGGAGAAAGAAAGGCTCCTTATCAATGTGAATATCACACTCAGCAAAGTACAGAGCTTATCCAGGAACCAGGCGTGGGACCAAGACATTTTTGCATATTACTGGGGCCGGTTTGACCTGGGGCAGGGAGAAATATGAAGGATCTCCATAGACTTCCCTTCGCTGAAGGAGGTCCCTTTTTTTTATTATTTTATTTTATTTATTTATTTATTTTGTCTAGGCCAGTGCATTGCCTCCATCTCAACTACAATCCCTCCGCCAGGGAGCTGTAGGAAAGTGGCTACTGTAAAATGTCCACGGGGAGGACAGGAGGCTTTTAGGAGTTGGGAGTGTGCTAGACTCAGGCATCTCCAATTGAGTGCTCATTTGATGTCAGCAGAAGCAGGTGGGGAAACTGGAGACCAAACTCGCAAGCTGGCCATGGTAGCTCATCCGTACATTTCCAGCATGTGGGAGGCCAAGACAAGGCATTGCTTAAGGCCTGCTTGAACTAAAGAGTGAGACCCTGTCTCAGAAAGAAGAGAGCAAGGAAGGGAGGCAGGAAGAAGGGAGGGAAGGAGGAGGGAAAGAGGGAACACCTGAGTCAAGGGCAGGTTGAGGGAAGGATTTGGGGGAGAGAGAAGATGAGTTAGGCAAGAAGTGAAACGGGCATCCAACCAGACCTTCCACCAACCCCTCATGCGGCAACGCCGCCATCTCCTTTCTGCTTTGCTAGCATGTGCTCCGATGGGACCTGCGACGGCTGTAACTTCCACTTCCTATGGGAGAGTGCGGCTGCTTGTCCCCTCTGCTCAGCCTCCGACTATCACACTTTTGTGAGCAGTTGTGTGGCTGGGATTCAGGTATGTCACCCTCTGCTTGGGGACATCCCGGAGTGGAGAGATGGCGAGTTCTGAGGTTCCCGTTTTTCTCCCCAACAGAAGACGACCTACATGTGGCGGGAACCAAAGCTGTGTTCCGGGGGCATCTCCCTGCCCGAGCAGAGAGTCACCATCTGCAAGACAATAGATTTCTGGCTAAAAGTGGGCATCTCTGCGGGCACCTGCACTGCCATCCTGCTCACCGTCCTGACCTGCTACTTTTGGAAGAAGAATCAAAAGTACATGGTGGGGGGTTGGAGTCCGGGGGACGTCGGGGTTGGACCCTTGAGCAGGAAAAGCATCTGAGGATGTTACTGAGAATTTTCTTTGGAGTTGGCGATTGACCCTATGATTGGCCAGAGACTTTTAAAGACTCTCATCCGTTGTAGGCCTTCATCTAGCAGGGATGGCTATCTAAAATTCGCTAAAGAAAATCCAAGCCAGGTCTGGTGGTGCAGGTCTTTAATGCCTGTGCTTAGGAGGCAGAGACAAGTAGATCTCTGTGAGTCTGAGGCCAGCCTGGTTTGCATAATGAGACTCTGTCTCAAAAAGAAAAAAGATAGGAAGGAAGGAAGGAAAGAAGGAAGGAAGGAAGGAAGGAAGGAAGGAAGGGAGGAGTATCCTTGGGCTGAGGTTATAGATCAGTGACAGTGCTTACCTAGCATGCAAGAGACCAGGATTCAAAAATCCAACAAAAAAAAAGGACAATGTTTTTAATTTGTTGTGTTTATTAGCAATGCAAAAATATAGAGTTACACGCCGCTAATCCCAACACTTGGGAAGTCGAGGCAAGAGGACAGAGTTTAGGGTCATCCTCCAGCTATGTATCAATTCCCCAGGTCAGCCTGGGCTATAAGAAACCTTTCTCAGGCTGGAGAGATGGCTCAGTGGTTAAGAGCACTGCCTGCTCTTCCAAAGGTCCTGAGTTCAATTCCCAGCAACCACATGGTGGCTCACAACCGTCTGTAATGGAGTCTCGTGCCCTCTTCTGGCCTGCAGGCATACACACAGACAGAATATTGTATACATGATAAATATTTTTTTAAAAAAAAGAAACCTTGTCTCATAAAAACCAAAAACAAATAAACAAAGCATGACTTTATAATTTCGATATTTCTGTTTTGAGAAACAGCCAGCCTTAAAGAATAAGCCAAGTCAGGTGGTGGTGGTGGTACACGCCCTTAATCCTATCACTCGGGAGGTAGAGGCAGGTGGATCTCTGTGAATTTGAGGCCAGCTGGTTTACAGAGCAAATTTCAGGACAGGCTCCAAAAGCTACACAGAGAAATCTTGTCTCTAAAAACTAAAAAAGAAAAAGAAAGGGATCTGGAGAGATGGCTCAGTGGTTAAGAGCACTGCCTGCTCTTCTAGAGGTCCTGAGTTCAATTCCCAGCAACCACATCGTGGCTGACAACCACCTGTAATGAGATCTGGCGCCCTCTTCTGGCGTGCGGGCATACATGGAGGCATAATGTTGTATACATAATAAATAAATAAATCTTTAAAAAAGAAAAGAAAGGAAGAAAAAGAAAAAGCCGAGATTCCTTCTGTTCACCTATATCCTTCACACCCTTTCATAAGGCTTCCGTCTCCTCACCTATGACGGGAGGGAGGGAGGGGCTATCATTTTGTAGCCCAATCATTCCCCTCACTCCTACATTCCCGTATCTTGCCTTGTTTCACAGACTAGAATACAAATACTCCAAACTGGTCATGAATGCTACCCTCAAAGACTGCGACCTGCCAGCAGCTGACAGCTGTGCCATCATGGAAGGAGAGGACGTGGAAGACGATCTCATCTTTACCAGCAAGAAGACACTCTTCGGGAAGATCAAATCCTTTACCTCTAAGGTAGAGAGGGGCTGGAAGTGAACTGGGGGTCCGCTAGAGGGGTGGAGAGGACACTGGGACACTGAGTGGCCCCACTCCATTTAAGACCTATGCTCTGATCCCAGCTCCCAGCACTGCCCTAGCCTCTCCAAAAAAACACCACCTTCTTCCTTCTGTATACATGTCAATACTCTCCTCCCTGGGGCCAGGGCTTCACTCTGCTCGTTCCTCCTGTGTATTCTAGGAGATAGATTGTTAGGGCCTTTTAATTTCCAGAAGGAGTATTGAACAGTCCCTGTGTTTTACACACACACACACAATGAGAGGGGGGGAGAGGTTGGTTTTGGTGGGCTCTGAGAGCCTTGTTTCTATCATAAATTGAGTGAAGGGGAGGCCGTCTCCAGGTTCAGTCAATTTCTGATAGAAACAAGGCTCTCAGAGCCTTTATCCAGTGGAGGGTGCTATCCCCACAGTGTGTGGGCCCCGTCCTGAGGGGCTGAGTCATAGCCAAGTCTAAACTGCGCCCGGTATGTAATTCTGAACTGGGCTGGCTGGCTCTGTGTGGGTGGGTCTGGTGAGTGTGAAGCTCATAAACGCAACATAGACACCACCGTCTCTGGGCGTAGGGCCAGCAGAGGGCACCCAAACAGTTCCTCCGGGGCCGAACACACACCTGACTGCTGCACAAGGGAGTCTTTCAAACAGGTGTGAGTGGGACGGGTGAGAGAGGACGGGAGGAGGCAGGAAGCGCGTAGAAGAAGGGGTGGCAGTAGGTGTCCAATGCCTGCGTCTAATCCTTTGCGCTGACTTGTCAGGGTGACTCCCGCGGCCCACTTGGCTCTTCGTGGTTTTCCCTTCCAACCAGTGCAAGCCTAGGCGTTAGGGAGACAGACCCCTTGGGTCCGTCTAGGATCTCTAGAACTAAGCAAAGATGCAAACCAGGAGCCAAGATCTTCTTCCCTGAGCCTGTAGGCAGCAGGACCAGAGAACGACTCATGCCTGTTCCTATGTTCCCACAAAGCCCCAGAGAGCGGGAAGTCCGGAGGGTTCCTTCTGTCACCTGGTTTCCGGCTCTCCTCTTTGTCCCCTAATTTGCCCCTGTGCAGCAGCCAGCTCCTGTCACCCATCTCTCTTTCAGAGGACTCCTGACGGATTTGACTCGGTGCCGCTGAAGACATCTTCAGGAGGCCCAGACATGGACCTGTGAGAGGCGCAGGCCCTGCCTCGCCTGCCTCTCACCTGGGCGCACCACCCTGCAGGCCTGTGGCAAGTTAGGTGCCAGCATCCTGGACTCCCCACTGCTGGGAATCTCCTCACTGTGGCCTTATCAGAAGTTTGGATTTCAGACCCTTGTTTTTTATAGAGTACCCAAACCTTTCTCTCTGCTTGCCTCAAACTGATCAAATATACCCACACTTTGTGTATGGTTTCCTTGCTCGCATCTTGTCTCCGGAAACAGCCCACCCACCGGAGTTACACTCATCCACCCATAGTTCCTACAGCTCTCAAATGCAAAGAGTTCTCCTTGATGTATAGAATTGACCTGTGGCCTTCTGTTTGAGGGCAGGAGCAGCTGAGAGTTCTCTCGGTCAGATAAAGGCCTTCGACTCGCGGTCTCTTTAGGAGAGAGGCTGTGGATGAGGGGAGGCTGGGGACTGATGGACAGTCTTCATAGTAGCCTGGGTTCATTCCTTCTGTGTAATGAGCTTGTACAGGGAGCCGCAGACAGTCGGAGGGCAAGGTGAGTTGAAGCCTGTGTCACGAGAAACTGGAAAAAAAAACCCACAAAGAAAGGCAAGAAAGAAGGGGTTTTGCTTGTTCTGTTTTATAACCTGAAACCTCATTTCCTTCTCTTAAATGATAAATATTTTCACTAATGACAGAGGAGATCATTTATCAAGAACTTGCCCAAAGCCCTTGTAGACCTGTTCCCACAACTGATGTTTTAGAATGTTCTTTCCATGTCCTTAGGGCATGGAAAGAACCAGGTAAGTCCAGCTTTATCTTCTGTTGGCTCCACTGGGAAACGCCCATCTGAGAGCACCTCAGTCCTCGAGGCCTAGGGCATCATGAGAAGGAACATCTTATTTGGAAAGAACACGGGAGACCAGGGTTTTAATGGGGTAGCACTAGGGACTCGGGCACACAATGGCATGGATCAGCTATGGCCATGATGTCTGCTAGGTTACAGAGTTGCTAACCTCTAGATTGACCAGAAAGGGGCTGCAGGTAAGGCAGATATGGACCAGTTTTCAGGAAGGAAGAGCAGGGACGTGTTACAAGGTCTGCATCTGACCTGGGCACTTGTGACCCCCAAGCCTCTGTCCTGTTCTCATTTCATTTGTGTGCTAAAAATCTAAAAGACTCCTGGCTTCCATTTCTGGTGACACTCATTTGAAAGGTGAGTAGAGCTACCAACTCACAGGTAGGGTGGTTTCCTCTCCCCCCTCCTCCCATTTACTCCAGCTATAACTGATGAAGTATCTAGAAGAATCTTCAGCTAACTTTTTCCTCTTACTCCTGAGAATTCTACCTCTTTCATCCCATACCAGAATGACCGTCTCTTGGTTGAGTCCCAGTTGCCCCACGGCCTACACCAACGCCCTTTCCCCAAGGACAGGCAGTTGGCCGAGAACAGAGCAGCATTTCCAAGTGGTTTGTCGGCCACAAAGTGGCTTGCTCGTCTGGTTATCCATGGCTGCCCTGGCGATGGTTTCAAAGAGTTAGAAAGAAATGAAGCTATGCCATGGCTTCTGACCATCAAAGGTATCCACGGTGACCAGGTGCAGGTAGAAGCTTTCCTTTGACCCTGCAAGCTGTCCCTCATTGGGTGATCTCAGGACTTTGACCATGCTGGGATAGTCTTGCGTGGATATGTACCCACAGGCCATGAGCTCACAGCCAGTCTCCTGCAGCCCCTTGGGCTTCTGCTCCTTGTGGAATGGCTGCTTCCTATCATGGAGATCACAGGAGATACTTAGACTGCTCTTCAAGATGTAGGAAAAGGCCCATCTCTTTGGGCTTCTTTATTTGGGTGTCTGGAATTGAGTGGGGCCCCCACCCAAGCGTCCTGGGACCACACTGATTCAATGAGCACTGAAGGAAGGGGTCACCTGTTGTTTATCTAGCAGCTCAGCAGCTTCAGACAGTTTCAGCATCTCTACTAACATAATCTACATACTGTGTAAGTCACCCTTTCAAGGCCCTCAATTCAGTGACTTGGGTATATCGATTTTAGTTTTCTGTGCGGAAGGTGAAACCCAGGGCTTCTCACATTCCAGGCAAAGTGTTCTACTACTGAGCCACATCCGTGACAATGAACATAGAGTTTAGAACACATTAGCCCTCGAGCCAGGGCTGTGGTCGTTTGCTCAAGCTTTAGGGGCAGAGCATTAGCTCAGGAAACAGTGTTTAAATTCCATATGGATATCTAGAGTCCTAAAATACGCAATTTCATCCTATCGTGATCCTTGTATTTGGCTGGGAATACAAACAAAGATTATGGTATATCAAAGGACCAGGGGATTTCTTATGTCATCAAAACCTTTTTTTGTCTGACTCGATAGCAAAGCTAAGATTGACTATATTTATACAACAGAAGCTTTGTCAAAGATTTTTCAGTTTTGTGAAATCCTATTGGTGTCTGGTCAGAACGGGTCGTATTTCCTTTTTATTCTGTCTCCCAAGCATTTATAGTTTGTTAGGGATGGATGTTGCATGCTTTTTTTTTTTTTTAAATAAAAACATATCTTTTGAGCTGTCTCTCTTGAATTATGGGTGTGGGTGGCTGGACAGGTGAGCGGGAAATGGTGTCCTTGACGTGAAGTCAGAAAAAGTGAACAGAGAAAGGAGCATAAACTTTAGACCAATGTGCAGGATGAAGGCTGGATCGTTCTTGCCGCCTACTGAGGAATTAATGCCGAACGCCTCATTTTCTGTAATAATAAACTGATACCAAGATTGGGTGAGGGACAAGCGATCTCACACATAAAAGACAGCGTGTTAGGTCCCTTCCCCAAGTCAGGCTTCTCTCAAGGGCATTAGCCAGTCACACGAAGCTTCCACAAACACAGAAGAACTTAGTTTCTCCTGGTAGGAAGAGGATTATTACAAACTAGAAGTGGAGAAAGTTTTAGAGATATTACAGACCTATCATTTCCCTAGAGCGGCTGGGTTTTTCTGATTCTGTTCTTTCTTCCCCTCTAGTTGTGTACATTGAGCACCCCAGAACTGTACCCCCTACATGAGTTTAGACTGCCACAGGCATTTGAACCTGAATTTTATATGGCACGAATGTTCTACATTGATCTTTGGCGGGGGCGGGAGGGGGACTCTTTGGCATCCAACAGTTTTTCCCCCTCCAGCTCCTCCCACTCGCCTGTCATTAGAGCCTTCTTTTTGTCCTGGCTTTTCAAGAGAGGGTCTATCTGTGTAGTCCTGGCTATCCTGGAACTCACTATAGACCAGGCCAGTCTCAAGATCCACCCGCCTCTGCCTCCCATTGTTGGAACAAAAGGCGTGTGCCACCAAAGCCCGTCATTAGAGTCTTTAATACCCTCTTCCTTCATCCCTTCTTTTTATTTTGGCTTTGTTCGACTTGGTTTGTTTTTGAGACACTGTATGTAGCCTAGGCTGGCTAGAACTGATTATGTAGCCCAGGTTGCCTCAAACTCATGACAATCGCACATGCCTGACTGTGTGTTTTGATTTTATGTATATGTATAGGTCTGTCATGTTTGTTTGTTTGTTTATTTTCAAGACAGGATTTCTCTGTAGTTTTTGGTGCCTGTCCTGTAACTAGCTCTTGTAGACAAGGCTGGCCTCAAACTCATGGAGATCTACCTGCCTCTGCCTCCCAAGTGCTGGGATTAAAGGCGTGAGCCACCACCGCCTGGCTAGGTCTGTCATGTTGTTGCTGTGTATGCGCTGAAATCTTTATTCATTTACTTTGTATGTGAATGTGTGTTTAGTCTGCATTCATGTTTGTGCATCACATGTTAGCCTGAAACCTGAGGTGGGCAGAAAGAGGTGTCAGATCCCCTGAGACTGGAGTTTCTGATGGTTGCCAGCCAATATGTGCCTGCTGGGAATTGAACCCAGGCCCTCTGGAAGAGCAGCCAGTGCTCTTGGCTGCAAAGCCATCTCTCCAGCCCCATTGTGTTTTGTGTTTTTTGATTTTTTTTTTGTTGTTGTTGTAGTTGCTGTTACAAAATAAAAAGTAAATTTATTCAGCAACAATGATACATTTTAGCGTTATACAGTAAATAGAAGCAAGTTTCTTGGAGTTTTCAAATTTCTTGCAGGTTACTCTTTGAGATTCATGAACACTAAACAGTATTTCCAGAAATTCTCAGCAGTTTCAAGGTTGTGATTATTTTAAACATACTTCCAACACTAAATTCATGCTTCACACTCTGTTATATAGATAATTAAAACTCATGTTTAAAGGAAGAAATACTTGCCGGGCAGTGGTTGTGCATGCCTTTAAACCCAGCATTCAGGAGTCAGAGGCAGGCAGTGTAATGAGCTGTTCTGTCTCTTTAAGAGACAAGCCACGCTCCCCCCACCACCTCCTCTGAGGCAGGCAGATCTTCCTTCCTGCTTGCAGGGGACCAGTGGCCTGTGCCATCCTTGCCTGGGACTGGCTGCTCTTGGAACCCACTGCCAACTGCCTGCCACCACTTGACCTGCTGCCTGCCCCCACTCGGGACCTACAGCATATTTTTATTAATCCATTTCAAGCCAATCTCTGTGAGTTTGAGACCAGCATGGTCTACACAGTCAGGGCTACACATAGAGACCCTGTCTCGAAAAACCAAGAAAAAGAAAAGTAAGAAAGATCCTCTTGTAGTGTTCCAAAGGAGGATTGCCTTGCTGCTGCTGTGTTGTGAGATAGAATCTCATATGTTCCAGGCTGGGCATGAACTGTGCCAAGAATGACCTTAACTCCTGATCCATCCACTTTCCATTCACTGAGAGGGACCATGACTAGATAATAAAGATGCTGAACTTCCAAGATGGCTGGCTGCTTCTTGGTCTTTCTGACCTGAGACCCCAAAGCTTGGTAGCTTAAAATCAAAGGCCTGAGGGGTCTTTTATCCTGCCTGGAGAGCCTCCAGCCTGTAGACCCAGCCAACAAGTTCAAGGCCAGACCAGGAAGTGTTTGTGGACCAGTGTCCCTATTTTTGTTCCAACCATGCCAGACCCACTCCCCTCTCAGCCCCTCCCCTCACTCCACTCCCTCAAGGGCAGACCAAGTTTTGGCTTCTCCCTGCTTTGCAGAGGGTCTTCTGTGTGCCTTTGTAGGTAGTAAAAGTCTTTTTTGCTGTCCTGGAACTAGCTCTTGTAGACCAGGCTGACCTCGAACTCACAGAGATCCACCTGCCTCTGCCTCCTGAGTGCTGGGATTAAAGTAGTGCACCACCACTG